TTAAATGAATAACAATTATATTTGTGCACATATTTATGGATACAGAGTGAAATATCAGGGTTATAACTCCATTCTAAAAAAATGATAGAGCACTGTAATTAATATCACAGCATTTATTGCAACAGTTCACATGTATGAGGTACGGCTGAATCTCACAATTGAATTATCTTTCTGTTTCCCTAAGGAATGAAATATTATACGTAGGCCATGAAAGCTTGCTAGAGACTTTGAAGGAACCTGCAGGTTTCGGCAATAATACCAAATCTGGCAAGATGCAGATTCTTTTGAACTCTTACACTAATCACTCTCTGTATGGGTTCTCATCACACTTTTTTGACCAGTGGTATGTAAGTTAGGAACACAGAAGTTGCTTTACAGAATCTGTGAATTAAGCAAGAAAATTCAATACTGTTTTGAAGTTAGAAAAACCCTATATTAAAAAAGAAAATATTATATAAATATGGGTGGTTGTATAGATATGACATATTTATGTCATCTGGGGCTAATGCATTAAATATTATATGCCTCCTTTGACTACTGTTTGCTTCCCTCCATTTTTAAATGTTGCATGTAAAAGCTCAAAACCACAATTATATATTAAAAGAATGACGGAATCCATTTATTCTCTTTCAGTTAAATGGGTTAATTTATTCTCAAATTATGAAAACTGCTTTATTATTATTAGGAACTTAACCTGGTGTTTCAGAATCAGGTTTTTCAGGTTATTGTCAGAACTTGAAATATTGCTGATAATTGCAGGTCTTTGGAGTAAGAAGAAAACAAATAATCCTCAACAACAAAACCTAAGACAATATCATCTTTGGTAACCAAAAGATTTACAGAGATGAAGAAAACCCCATTTCTAAGGAAACAGCATAAAATATTCTGCAAAAGTTGAATCATCAGTCAAAGATTCAAAAGAAGACTCAAACTAAAAGGTTAGAAAAAATTTAAGTGCAACTTTGATAAAGGATATTTATTGTCCTGATTATTTATTTTGTACATGCCCTTCAGAGTCATTTCACATTCCTGGTGCCCTATTCTAGTAACCTGATTCTCCCACTCAGAAGACATCCATTGTTTTCAAAAAGTAGCTTGCACATTCATTTTCAAATTCCAGGCATCTGAGGCCACACTGATGCTGAAATCTGGGGTGAGCCAACATTCAGAATTTCTAGTCTACTAATAAAAAAAATAAAATATTTTCCTTCCCTTGGTAGACTCAGATCAAGAGTAGTGGAATTTCCCTCTAAATAGGCACAGCCCAGTACAGCAATACTACTTCTCAGATTCAGAGTATATTAGGAATCTTAAATGATCAATTTTTAGAGTTCTACCCTACAAAATGTTCCTCTGCTGTACATTTTCTGTCCTGATCCACACTAGTAATCTGTCAGATCTACTTACTAGCTCATAGCTTGAGTGAAGAGACAGCAAAATAGGAAGATCTACTGAGAAGACAGGAAGGGCAGTATGAGGGAGGAGCAGGAGTGAACATATACAATATAGAGGGTAAAAGAGAGATTGAAAATGAGTGGCAATGGACTACTGTCAATGGAATACAGAGGATAAAGGGGAAAGAATTCAAGAGGTGCCATGAAAAGGCAGTCACGGGAACTAAAAGTAAAGAGAAAACAGAAGAAAAGTATCACAGGAGTCTGAAAAGGAAGAAGAGGATGAAAAAAACTAGAGGAGATTACTGAAGAAAAGGTAAAGCACTAGACAAAAAATGACAAGAGCAAAGAGGAAGCTGGAACAAGGAAGAAACAAAAAGGATGCAAGAAATGTGCAAGGGACAAACAAATGTAAAATAAAGATAGCATAAGAAGACACCCTAGGAAAAAGAGAACTTGTAATTACTGATTTAGAAACTAGCTCTCATCTACAGCTATTTGTTATATCGTCTTAATTCATTCTGCTCTGCTCCATAGCAGAGCAGCACCACATTTTTAGACAAGCTTCTCCACTGTTTTGCACTGCACTGGAGCGCACTTACCACTGCTGGTTACAACAGCTCATAGTCAGCAACTGATATCTTCAAACACTCTTTTTAAAAAGTATATATTAAAAGCCTGCTTTTGAAAACTTGACTCCTAAGAGGTAGTTTGGTGCCCCTGCAATCCCCTGCCTGTTTCAACAATCTTCCCTCATAAACATTTCCCTTATTCTAAGAAGGGATAGTTATCCCTGTTCTATATTCTGCACTTGGTTGCAAAAGAGCTGCTTTGTTTTCTTGGTGTCGTGCAAGAGAACTGAAAATGTAATTTTCCTATTGTAATGAAATGAAAACAATGGGCAGAGGAAAAAGTCAGCTGCCCTAGGAAAAATTTACAAGGCACAATAAATGACTTTAGTCCATGCCCCAGAGGATATGCAAAAAACCCCCACAAAACCAAAAAAAAATCAATATGCAATTCAGTTTTGAAGCTGTGGCAAAACACACTAGGTAACTTTATTTGAACTACACTGGTGATATGTGCCTAACCAGCTGGTGACAAACACTGCTTTTCTGTTGACTCTCTCTTCTCCTTGCTTCTCTCCTCCCATTCCATGTCCCCGCCCCTACCATGCATTTTTCTTCAAAGCCCCCTTCGTTTTACACTGCTCCCTGTTAAGGAACAGCATGTACATTTTTGTTTGAAATGGTTTCTGGTGGTTTTGGACTCCAGGATGGACACAGTCAAACATGTGAGCACAGCTCGGCACCATCTTCACTGACTAGCCAAATCATGTTAGAAACTATTTCAGCTGGAACCAAGTTTGAAATCAGGTCTTTAACACAGTTTAGCTGGGTCAGAATCTCAGAGATCTTTCCCTTTTTTTGTCCTTTTAAAGCCTCCAGTCCCTTCCTCAACATCCAGCATTGCAGCCATCACTCTTCTATGTGAAGAACTCCACGCTGCAGGCCTTGTCAATTCTGTTTCTATACCAGACAGGAGGTCAGTGATAAACACTTCTTCCCTTCCCCTGGGGTTGCCAGATAGCACTCTGAATCTTTGCTGGTCAGCAGAGTGATGGACTAAGAACCATTAATATTTATGCGTATAAGGAGAAAGTGTATCCATTTCCCATTAATTTTACTTCAAACTTCTCTATAGTGCTACAAAGAACCACCATTGAAAAAGTCCCACTGAACCTTTACACTATTTTTACATCCAGTTTTTTTTTTTAAATACAGTAAATATTTACATTGCTAATAAGGCTTCTCTATGTTCCAAAGTTTTATCATTTTAACTAAACTGGTGTAATTATAATAGGAAAACCTCTACAGTATGAAAAAAATTATAGTACTGTACAATTGCTCATACTGGCAAATATAACTGACACAGAAAGTGGAATAAACTATAGTAGTTTAAGGTTCCTCTACACCAGTCTGACTGTGTCTAAACTAGAGGCTGTATAACTAGTTTAGCTTTAAAAAAAAAAAGAAAGAAAGAAATAAAAAGTAAAGAAAAAATCATGGCCCCACCCAAAAGAGAGCAGTACAAAATTTGTTTGTAGACCATGCCCAACAGTACCTGGAAAATGTGGCTTTTCCTCAAGTTACCACTTTCACACCATATGTTATTTTATAGTTTATACTTTTTTGCTTTTTTTTTTTTTTAAATAATTCATTAACTCTAGTATAATTCTCCATTGTATCTGATATACAAAACTGTATGCAAGCCCTCCCCTCACGTTATCAGTTAATAATACGGATGGAAAATAAAATGTTTGGTACGATAATTTAGTGATATGCCTGCACAGACCAGAAACTTGCATATTAGAGAAACAAACTAACGTGTAAAAATGCATGCATTATTCTTTTACTGCATGGCCTATCCCTATAAGAAATAAACTAAATTTACCCATTTTTAGCAATTGTATTCCTTAAAATTGACCAAAAAACTATATGTCTCACACACACACACACACACACACACACAACATACTTTGTAGACGTTTGTCAAATACTGCAATGCCCATACTAAGGCAACACATCCCAGTAGTTGGCAGTCATGCTATCAGCAAGAATTTGGCTACAGAATCAGCAGTGATTCATCATACATTCTAGAAGCACTGTTGAAGCAGCAAAATAGCTCACTGCTATTTTAATCCTTTAAAGCTAGCAATAATCTTCTAAAAAAAATATTAAAAACAGGTCTCAGTAAATTCAAAATAAGAAAAAAAATTGAAGGTTCTGGTAAAATATTTCAAAATAGATTTTTAAATATTAGTGCTAAGTGGTCTCAACAGAAACGCTTTAAAAAAAAGTTTAATAAATGTTAAACGTTTTCTATTAAACAGGAAAAGCAGCTAGTCACTTACCTCATTACACTGTAAATTTAAGGTTTAAAATTGTGGTAGTCTTATAGCAGAACTACAAATAAAAAAAAATCCCAATTAAAAATATTTTGAATTAGTTTAGAAGATAAGTCAAAGAAATGTTTTTGTAGAGGTTTTGGAGTAAACACCAATGTAGAGCAGCCATGTTTTTATGGATCTTTCTCCACTACAAATGGAAGATGCTTTCAAAGTGCACATTAAAAAAGTATCAACAATGTGTAATGAAAATATTTATTTCTGTACTTTTGTCTCATTTGCCCATGAGCACCCATTACTTTTTTTTATTACCCTATTCTTAAGAATAAAAAAAAAAGCATTTTCCAACTGATCGTAGCTGAATTTTTTTTTGCAGTGGCAAATAATAGCGCAGGAACTATAACCTTTCAAGTACTACTGCATTTTCTAATAGATCTTTCCTTCTCAAAATGCCTGTGTTAAACAGAAATGTAGTTATTATCTCAACTGATTATGGAATTCCTGTTAGATTATGTATTTCTTTACATAGCAAATATACAGTGAGGCATAAAAACTTTTTCTTGCGCGTGGTGTTTTAAGTACCCAGTCAGCACAGCTTACGAATGTTTCTCTTCAGATCTGCGAAGAGTGTCCCGTGAAAGCATTTAGGATGTACCGCCTCTCTTCCCATTATATAAGTACACATCAAGAGCCCGTACCTTTTGGAAAGCCACTTCATCCTGACCTCTCTTCCTTTTGCTGCCTTTTTTGGCTCTCCGGTTTACTTGAATCCATTTTGCGACCTGCAGTTCAAAACCACAGTGCTTTTTAAAGAGGAAAAGATGCGACCTGAGTACAGCTACTCAGCATGAGTAAGAAACTATAAGCAGAGTCAAGGCACAGTTTTCCATTGCTTCATTGGGAAGAGGGGGGGCAAAAAAATCCCACTTTTTCAGTCTAGAATGGCAGGCTCTTAGGTAATCCAGTTAGTCGCTTGTGCGTGGTCAAACTAGGTTTTCTTCCTTCATCTCCTACAGCGACTTTTCCTTTCTTTTTTTTTTTTTTTTTTTAAACCTCTCTAACGCAACCTCACTGCCCAGCTTAAGTTTTTTTTAGCATCAGGAAATGACACGGCTGATGCGGCGAAGTGGCAACCGTCTCGCTGGTGCGTGCCCGGACCCTAAGGAAAAAAACCTCTGCTGCTTGCAGAGGGATGTCCAACCATCCACTCGCTCAATCCTTGCTCCCGGGTGGCAGCGCCAACTTGCAGCAAGCAGCGCACCTCTGTGCAAGAAATAACCCGGGGGGCTGGGGGCTCTGGCCCTCTGAGCAATACCTTTTCCTTCGGGGCGAGGTGGGGGGGACCTGGGAGGAGGCAGAAAGGGGCAACAAAGCACAGACGGCCCCTAACGGCAAAAGCCCGGGTCTCTCCTCACCTCGGCAGTCACTTGCTGGGCGAGGCGACCCTCCTTCCAAGTACGACTCTCTTCCAGCAGAGGCTACAGGGAGGGGAGACATAAAAGGGCAGGTTTACTCGGGCTTCCTAGGCTGCAGCTTGTGTGCAAAGAGGCTCCCCCCTCACATCCCTCCCTCCTTCCCTGCCCCCGGCATCGGATGCAAAACTTTGCCGTGTCCCGGCGGGCGGCGCGGGCTGGACCCCTCCCCAGCGCCCGGCGCCGCGGAGCCGCTTCGGAAATGAAACACCTAAGAGGGGTGCCCCGCGCTCCGGCCTCCGCCAGCCCCGGCAGGGAGGAGGAGCCTGCCTTAAACATGTAGAGGCTGGGCTGCGCCCTCCCCTCCCTTGGGTCCGGGCCGAGGTGCTTCCCCCGCCGCCGGCCCCGGCTCTGTGGGCTCGGGTCGGGGGCTTCCCCGGAGCTCGTGCCAGGCTACGTGGGAGCCACCTCCGTTGGGGGATCAGACACAGCCTGCACTGCTCCCCTCCACAGCAATGTCCGGAGTGTTTCCTTCCCCGCAGCCCCGCTGCATCTAATTTACATCGGACTGAAATTTCCAGTCATTTGAACGTGCACACGATCTTGCAGGGTGGTTCTCGCGGAGCCGGGAGTTATTTCCGGGAAGAGAGGAGCGCTCCGTTTATGAAGTAGTTAAACAGCTTGATTTTTTTTAAAGGGATTCACATCTACCCTGCCTTCACCCAGTCAGGTGATTTCCACTGGAGACTCTGAAGGGCATTTAAAAAGCAATAACCGAGTTAGCTTTGTGCTTGCAGCCCTGCCCTGTCTAGGAGTCGGGTTATATAGCACCGCGCACTTGTCACTTCGGCCCCGATTCAGCAAAAAAGCGGTGCTGGGGCCCATCTCCCGCCAGTGCACTTATTTAATCTCCCTGTGCCTGAAGAAGGGTGTTTGTGCCCCAGCACTTGCAAAGAACAGATGTTTCCAACTGTTTAGTTGGTCTAGTAAAAGATGTCACATTTACCCAAAGAACCTCGTCTGCTTATTAACCCAGGTGTTGGTTTTGTGGCTCTGTAGCACTGGCTTCTCCCTCTGCCAGCTTCCCTTTGCTCTGCAAGTGATAACTACTTCCCTTTCAAATTCATTAACAAAAATGAGATTCAGCTCTAGCAACAGTTCTAGCTTGGACTGGGACTGCTTCTTTCTCAAACCTGGTGCTTTTAAAGCAGCTGAAGTCTGAAAGTTTCTCTTGCTCTCCCAATTATACAGGCTGTTCCAGCAAAAGATACTCACGTGACAAATCTTGCTAAATGCAAGGGCATTTGGCTGAGTATCATAGGACTGTCCCCTGTGCATATATACAAAATATTCACATGTGCAAAATGTTCAGATACCCATTATACAATGGCACCGAAAAGAAAGAGAAACATAAAACCAAAAATCATGCACAATGGTCAAGAAACAGTATAACTGTATTACAAACAACTCGTCCAGGCACCTATACCCATTATTTTGCATTTCTGGTAACTATGCTGGGAGTTCATAGACTCAAAGTGTTCCTATAAAAAGGGCTAGCAAGTGAGGTTCTACAAGTATGGGATTTAAATACATTTTTAAATGCTTTCCTTGAACTGGCAACTTAAAACTGGATATACAGAAAAGGTGAAATCAGGCAATTTATGCCAGAGAAAATCTGAAGGTTGAAAATCCATAAATCAGGATTTAGTACCATATTTAAACATTGTTATAGACAATATGCACAAAAAGGACAACTTTGTAAAGTAATCAGGTGGGACACTTACAAACCTACTGCTACTGGTAAGGTATTTTAAAGCTTTTTAAAAATACTTTTTTCCTCAGTTATATGTGGAACAATTCCTTGAAAGCTTCAAATAGAAAGCAAGCATCAAAGTATGTATTTTATAGAATTAGATGGACTCTGCAAACCGATGTAAGTAAATAAGGTAGGTCAAACTAGTGCCTACTAAATCTTGACAATATCCCTTTAACTTTATCACTTTTCTTTTAAAAAAAATCTGTCCTACCCTTTTTCCTTTATTGCCACAACATCCTTCTTTCAAGATCAAAAGCCTCAGATCAAAGCCAAGATCAAACTCCATGCTTTAAATAGCGGCAACTTTGTCATGAAGTATTACACAAAGAAGAACTTCTTAATAGAGATATCACAGCAGAAAATCTTATTTCAGTCTTTTATTTCACACTCACAACAGAACTACTTAAAAAAGACATTGACATAGCAATTGTGTTTTATACAAACACAACAGATCTGCTAGTGAGCGGTAGCTCTGAAAGCTGCCATAAGCTAACACTTTAGCTCCCTGTGCATTCAAATGGAGAAAGAATATCAGAGCATAGTTCAAAAAGAGAACAATCATAAATCTGAACAAGAAAATTAAACCGCTGACAGCGCATTTAATTTAGTGCAACTACCTTAAAAAAACCCACAAAACACTTGGATAAGTTTACAGCCTAAATCAACCTTTTTGCACACAGATATTTTTTGGAAGGTCATGGTCAAGAAACTGAGACTGTCCTAAAATATTTTTAAAACAATTGCACCTCCTCTTCCATCATATGGGAGAGGTCCAGGGAAAACAGAGTTACAAAGGACATAGTATCCCCCACACACTTGCCTTGGGGATCTTTTAGGCAAATTCAATATGTATAAGCATGAAGGGCTGCCTTCCTTTTTTATGCCAATGGAGTCACAGCCATTGGGAGAACTACACAGGAACAACAACAATTTAAAATTATGACAACGATAATGATGATACTGCCTGGATGTTAGTTCTCAACCATGTTTTCAGATCCAATCACACTGCATACTGTTCACTACCTTAAATAATCTTCAAAGAGTGCAATTTATGCATATGTCTGGGGTAAGTGCTGTAACTCCTAGGCCCCTTCCAGTTTGGCATCTTCCCAGTGAATTACATTGGGATGGAGAGGGGTTGATGCTACCCCCAGCTGCTCTCAGATGTTATTTTCTTGCCTGCCATGACTTTGATCTACTTTCAGTTAGGGAGTTACTTCCACTCTGTGATAAGTCCAGGCCTGTTGGAGGAATTTCTTTGTGGGGCTCTGCCTCCCCTACACTCCACCCTTATCACTTCCTCAATATTAACTCAACTTCTCTTTTAGGGGGCTGACCCCTTGTGTCCAATTTAGGGGCCTCTTCCTAGGCTGCTGGGATCTGGGTCAGGCCCTCCAAATTAATCCCCTGCAAGTCAACCAGTCAGGTCTATTTTTCACCACTGTCTGCATAGGGATGCTCATTTGCTCTCATCAGTGAACTAACAGCCCTCCAAGATAAGGCAACTCAAGTCAGTTTACCCTACTCAATAACTGTGTCATAAAGGTACATTGGCTGATGTCCCTTCCCACATTCAGGGTTGCCACCTTGTATCAATTCCTTAGTTGACTCAAACAGGTGGGTTTATCTTAGCCCACCCCCTTCAGCCCAGGGTTCATAGATTCATAGATGCTAGAGTCAGAAGGGACCTCAACAGATCATCGAGGCCGACCCCCTGCCTAGGCAGGAAAGAGTACTG